CTTTCAAAAGTTATCGTGTAAACGGCCGGACACACTGACCGATTCTAGAGTCTAGGAACTTTTTGAGTACACAAAAAGAAAAGCTATATAAATTGATATTATTATTGAATAGATATATTATTTGACATTTGTTATTTATCAATGAATATTTCTAGTTCAATTTGAATTTATATTAAACGATAATAATGTTCCAACTATAGACTAATACGAGACTCATATTTTACAATTTCTATATAGAATAGAATAAGTAATTGGAATATAACTCAAATGTTTTAATATTCTCGTGTTTTTTTTAAATCTCTGTTTCGATTTGTTGAAATGAGTTATTTTTCAATGTTCTTATATATTTGTCAAGGTAGACATCCCTTCTATAAACTTTTAAAACTCTTTGATTAACTGATTTGTTTTTAACCTTAATTGAAAATATTGGTCGAGTATTACTTTCAATTGACCTTGATAAAAAAAAATTCTCTAAAGTATCCATAGAGTTAAAATATCATCTGTATCTTATTCATTTCATGTTTTTAAACATTTTATTTGAAATTGTTTATAATCCAGAATATATTTCCATATAAATCGATTCGTCATATATATTAATAAACAATTGAATAGATTATTATATTCATATTGATATTGAAATCTGAATCGAAGTCTATTTTAATGAAAACTTTATTACATCATATATATATATATAGACACTATCTAGTGAACAAAAAAGAAAAGATAGAGTCTCATTTTTTTTTCTTTTTAAATCGTTTCATATGATTATATGTCATTTGTTTCTCATTTACTTTGTTTATTTTCATCATTAAAATCTAATGTGCTATATCAATTGGATGTAAAAGTAAAACGATATTTTCTTCAAAATCTATTTGTTAATAATTGTCAATGCCGTCAACCAGTATTATATCGAAATCTTCTATAAAATCAAGAGTAAATAATGATAAAGAATTTGATTTAAAAATAATTCTAAATTTTTCATAAATATGATTGTTTTATTGGTTAAATATTATCGTTTGGTATACCTATTGACCATTTCAATAAATATTATATAAATAGTCGATTCTTCTCTTGCCATTGAATTTAAATAGAATTTAAATAATTCATTCCTTCGTTTAGTTTTCCTTATATAATACATATGATAAAAACAACAATCTTATCTTTTAATTCCAACTGAGAAATAATTATTTATTCGTTTTTCAATATATATTAGTTCTAGAAATAATCTCTGATATAAATCAAAATAAAATGTCGTAATGATAAAAGAGTTCTTCTATGGAATCTATAATATATTCTCTTAGTAGATTATCTTAAATTAATCTCATTTAATATTAATCATTGGTTTTATGAAGAAAACACATAGATCATTTGTTTTAGAATTGATCCTCTATAGAAGACACTAACATGACAAAAAACAAACTCTATTATAGCTTAGGGAAAAATAAAACTAAAACTAAAAGTAAGGTTACGAGTGGAACTGGTAAATCTCTCGAGATAAATGCATATTCTTCTATTTTTTTCAGATTCGACTTTACGATATCTTTAAGTTAATATGTTTGGTTACATTGTTGCTTTTATTTAAAATCGAAAAATCCAAGTGATATAATGCACTTGTATAGTTATCATTGAATAAGAATAATTTATTGTGAATCTTAACAAATCGATAGATAGACAGATTAGAAAACCAAGTCGAATCGAGTCGATTTATTTATAATTATTTACCTTTCAGTTGATTTATTTATTTTCTTTCAATTTTACTATTTGAATATAATTTTATTTCTCTCTATTATTTCCTATAGAAAAACATAGAGGATATTATCTATCAACAAATCATTTTTCTGATTTTATATTCTAATAGAAAGGTTTACCGTATAGAAATATATATTAGACCATAAGACAAATCAATTAGAAAATAATTGAAAAACTATTATTGACAAAGAGTACCATCCTCTACAGGGTTTAACCGCACCCACACCAAGAGAAAAATAAGAGCAAATTGTAGTTGAACGTGGAGATTCTCTCAGACCCTGATTTAACAATTTTGCATTATGTTCTAATTAATGTTTTTTGAAAAAGTTTGTAACTGATTTTCGTCGTTGAGTGATATATATATATGAATGTTAATAGGAAGATTCTCCTTGAGGGTTCTCTGAGAAAAAGAAATTCTTATAGTAATATAATTGTTATTAGATATAATAAAATATCTAGTTTAAACAAAAGTTAAATAAGTTGATATTTTATTTAATTGTTATTGGTTGAGATTTCTATAGAGTTTCTCTTCTATTTCTAATAAATCTCTCACTATTATTGTTTTCCAAACGAATTTGATTGGTACCCTTAACTTTTAATAATTTTCAAAAAGATAAATAAAAACATTTAACGATAGTTTAATAAATAAAAAAAAAAACAGTTCGTATTGTACTGATAATAATAGTAAAAGCAAAGATTGATATCGAATAGTTTTGATAATAATTTCGTAGGTTGAGAGATCTAAGTAGAATATAATAAAATAAATTTCGAATATGATTTAATGGTCGTTGGAATAAATATGTATTATAATAAGACGATAAATATATATCTATGATAAATCACCTATTATAGACATAAAACTAAAATATAAAGTAAGAATAGAATATTTCGTTATCAATTCTCATATTTAAATAATGTTAATAAAATCGGATAATAATAGAAAGAATTATCTTTCTAATAAAATAAAAAATAATAAGATTGAAACCAATGTCGACATTCAATTTTATTTGATTATTTTAAATATGTTTATTTAATTCTTCGATTATTATTCCTAGTAGAATTATTTTCATCAGTTCGAATGAAAAAAAATAAAAATCGTCAAAATCCATGAATTTTGATTATTTATTTATAATTATGTTTTATTTAATTTAATTATATAAATTTGCTTTGTTTTTTTCTCAACTAATCTATAAGATTTATTTAAAAGATGAGTTATTAATCATTTTGTTAAATCATCTAGAATAATATTGATCATAAATAATGTTTTGCTAACATGACGATAAAATAAACTGTTAATTAGTTATTGTTTTTAAAAATTGATCTTCTAGAATTTGTTAATGGACTATGAGAAATAATTTGAATGTAGATTATTTTATTCAAATTATCTTTTAGCTATATGAAATAAGGAATTATCCATCGTATTTATATTTAAAATAAATCATAATCTAAGGAAAACGATAGATATTCTATTCTATGAAATGAAGAATTTTCGAGAAAAACAAAAAAAAAATTCTTTTTCTTCTAATCTAGACTTTCTCTTTAATGAACTTTAAAATTGTTTTGATAAAATCTTTTCTTTTTCTACATAAATTCTTTCTATTAATATGTGGTTAGTTCAAATCGATATTTATATATAAAGATAGAATATGAAATAATCTCTATTGATTTCTTTCATTTTTTTTTCTAATAAATTATTTGTTATTTTTATCAAATATTGAAATAGTTTCAATATATCTCCTACTAATATCTATTAATAAACAATCTTCAAGATTTATTTCGACATCTATATGTTAACACATCATATCAATTGGATTTTTTTATAGAATTCAATTGAACTATATTTTAGAAAATGCTGTGAGGAAAAAAAAAGGAAAAGTAGATCTAAACTCTAGGAAACCTTTCAATATTTCTTTCATTCTCTCACGTTCATTTCAAAAAGTTTTTTTTCGTATTAGTTTATTTATTATTTCTTGTTGACTTTCTCAATAAACAATAATAATTATTTAAAACAAGATCTAATCTTTTAAGGGGTTTAATAATCTTATTCTTGAACTATTCTCTTTATATATGAATAGATCAAGTGAATAACTCTTATATCTATATAGAAATCATTATTTGCTCACTTATCATTGATAGCTTGTACGAAGAGAGGATAAAAGAGAAGGATAGTTTTCAATTGTAAAATTGAAACAAATTTCTTGACAATTATATTTGTTTGTGGAAAATTATTCTCAATTGATATTTCGTTAACTGAAGATTTCTGAAGAATAAAATAGAATTCGATATATATTTAATATAAAAACTTGTTTTCCTATTTACAGATAATCAATCGAAAGAGTGTCACACCTATTAAAAACAAACGGATAAAGTTCTTGTTGCTCTTCAAATAAACTCTAGTTTTGTCATAAATGACTGTACTATTCATAATGAAAGATAGACATAAAAGAAAAATATATCGTTTCCAAGAGAGATACTATTCAACGATAAGAAATTTTATAAAAAACTTTCGAGAGTCTTCCTTATAGATTCGATAATAGTTACTCTTAGAATATCAGATAAAAACGTTTTCCTATATGTAGAAAAGAATTAATTCTAATCGGTTTTTGAATATTGATCACAAAGATTTTGTTGAAATTTGCAGTAGTATCAAACTTGAAAGTTAAAGTTCAATTATTCAACTATTCAAGTACTCTCTACACAGCACTCATGGCAACGACGCATGCTCACGTGTCCTTCCCAACTGTTGTAGACCGTCTCATTATTCTTCCCACACAGAGATCACCTACAATCATGTAAACTCCTTACCCGAGACTCCAATTCCGAAACTCACACCTTCCGCGAGGTAACCTGTCTTCTATTCATCCAAACACTCTCACAACCAGCCATTTTCCTGGCCACG